GACTATTATAGCAGATATTGTGAAGTAGTTATCCTAAGGTGAAGTACAAACACAAAGGTCATAGACCGCTTGAACTCAATATTTGCTCGGCATGGAGTTCCCACACACTTAAAATGGACACTGGCCTTCAGTTCGTTTCAGACTAGTTTAAATCCTCCTTGTGGAAAGCGGGATATAACGCTGAACAACTCCCCTTTTGTGGCTCCAGGTGAAGGGGGAGGTAGAACGTCAAAACTGCACTTTGTTGAAAACGATCCAGACAGCCCAAATCAGAGAAAAAAGAGATTGGTGGCAAGAGCTCAACACAGTTTTAACTGCAAACAGGTCAACCCATGGAATTACAACGAGTGTAACACGTGCGCCATTCTGCTTGATGTTCGGGAGAGAAATGCGGTCGAAGTTGCTAGAGTTATAAATACGTGAGGCACCTATCACCATTGAGAAAATCTGTGACTGGAACTAGGCAAGACAGCTGACACAGAAAGATTACGTAAACGCAAAGAGAGATAAAGTCAAACTGTCAAGTGGACATAAGTTGGAAATGAAGTATTGAGAAACAACAACAAAATAAACTGTCTCCATACTACGTCCCTGTCCTTAAGAGAACTTATGATCCGACGACGGCGACGGCGACGGCGACGAGAAGGACAAAAAAGCAATAGGTTTTTATAACGAAAACAACAATTCTGCACGTGCATCACGCTTTTTTGTACGTTTCTTTGCCGTCTGCACCACTACGACGAGAAAATGCCTCATTTCACTTTTTACAGAAGAAGTACACAAGCGACGACAAAATTTCCTCTCGCTTTCTGAACTTGGAAATGGTTCTTAGGAATTCAACTTAAGGAGGATTCACCTACATTTGACAAAGTTAGTGACCTGGAGTAATCGCGATGAAGATTGAAAGAACTCGAATTCACTTTTTCAGCAGCGTTTTCGCTGCCGTCGCCGTCCTCGATCTTAAGGTTGATTTCCACTGACGAGTTTTTGGCTACGCACGTTAACGCACGTAAATTTTAATCACGTAAATAAAGTAGAGGCAAGATAAAAAGTGCTGACCTTAAACGAGAAGTTGAGCTTGGTGTTATAGTGTATTATTACATTTGTTATAGTGTCAGTAATTCATACTGAACCCGCAGTATGTATGCGGTTACTGTAAAACCCGTGTGCTCTTTGATTAATACAGTTCTTTAGTTGATCCGCAATCTTGCGTGTAGTTGTCTGTTTGCCCGAGAACATAGCATTTCTGGCGACGAGAAATCGAGAGACCATGCCAAGCCTCGGCAAAATAGAGGAGTTCAATTCAGCTACGACAAGCATCAATCGCTACCTAGAGCGACTGGAACAATATTTGGTGGCAAACAGCGTTCCCGCCGACTCTGCAGGGTCACACAAACGAAGAGCAATCCTAATTTCTGTTATTGGCGCCGAGGCCTACGGTGTTCTTTCGGATCTCTGCTCACCGATTCCTCCTTCTGAGAAAACGTATGCACAGCTCACCACTATCCTAAAGAATCATCTCGCACCGAAGAACCTGGTTATCTCCGAAAGATACCAATTCCACAATTGTACACAATGCGAAGGCGAGAGTGTCACAGCGTCCGCTGCTAACCTGAAACATCTGGCTTCAACTTTCCAGTTCGGCACTCACCTGAATGAACCCTTACGCGATCGTTTCGTCTGTGGTCTTCGCAGTAAGGAGACACAAAAGAAACTGCTAACCGAGGAACACACTTTCGATGCAGCACTGAAGGTCGCCCTCGGCGCCGAAGCTGCTGAGAAAAGGATGTTGCTGCGTTCTCGCAAGAAAGTTCAGCTTCTGTAAACAACGTCGACTCTGGTAATCGTCGAAGTTTTCACGCACACGTAAATTTTAATCATGCCCACGTAAATAAAATAGAGGCAAGGTAAAAAGGGCTGAGCTTAAACGAGAAGTTGAGCGAGGTGTTATAGTGTATCATTACATTTGTTATAGTGTCAGTAATTCATACTGAGTCCGCAGTATGTATGCGGTTACTGTAAAACCCATATGCTCTTTGATTAATACAGTTCTTTAGTTCATCCGCCATCTTGCATGCACTTGTCTGTTTGCCCGAGAACATAACGTTTCTGTTAATCGTCGAAGTTTTCAGCCTACCCAAGGTCGTAAGGGTAATGGCAAGCGAGGCAAGTTCAATTCCTCTGGTAGCAACATTAAAGACCCTTCGGAGTGTTTGAGCTGCAGAAAAACAGGGAACCCACGTTCTCAGTGTAAATACAGAAATTACACATGTTATTCTTGCGGTAAAGTTGGTCACATCACGGAGGCATGCGAAGGGAAACCTCAGAAAGTGCACCAGCTAGAAGGATCAGAACCCCCTCAAACTAGTCCTCCCGATGATTCGGTTGATCCTTTCTCTCTCTCGCTGTACAATCTGAGCTCAGGTCATGATCAGCAAGGTATTGAGATACCCGTTGAACTGAACGGAACCTCTCTTCTAATGGAATTAGACACTGGTGCTGGCGTCTCAGTCATTCCAGAAGAAACTTACAAGAAAAACTTCAGTGCACACCCCTCATGCCGTCCAATACTCGCCTACGTGCATGCACAGGACACCCACTCAAGGTACACGCGCAACTTATTACACACCTAAAGTACCAAGACCAGAGCGCCGATGTCCCACTTCTTGTTGTTGAAGGCTCAGGCCCTTCCCTTTTTGGAAGAGACTGGCTGTCCCNTGGTAGCAACATTAAAGACCCCTCGGAGTGTTTGAGCTGCAGAAAAACAGGGAACCCACGTTCTCAGTGTAAATACAGAAATTACACATGTTATTCTTGCGGTAAAGTTGGTCACATCACGGAGGCATGCGAAGGGAAACCTCAGAAAGTGCACCAGCTAGAAGGATCAGAACCCCCTCAAACTAGTCCTCCCGATGATTCGGTTGATCCTTTCTCTCTCTCGCTGTACAATCTGAGCTCAGGTCATGATCAGCAAGGTATTGAGATACCCGTTGAACTGAACGGAACCTCTCTTCTAATGGAATTAGACACTGGTGCTGGCGTCTCAGTCATTCCAGAAGAAACTTACAAGAAAAACTTCAGTGCACACCCCTCATGCCGTCCAATACTCGCCTACGTGCATGCACAGGACACCCACTCAAGGTACACGCGCAACTTATTACACACCTAAAGTACCAAGACCAGAGCGCCGATGTCCCACTTCTTGTTGTTGAAGGCTCAGGCCCTTCCCTTTTTGGAAGAGACTGGCTGTCCCGAATAAGACTCGACTGGACGAAGTTCTGCAATATTCGCGCATCGGAGATAGACCTCCCACGGGGCGTGGCTTCCCAGTTGCGCACAACTATCCAAAATCACCCTAAAGTCTTCAAACCGGGCCTCGGAACTGTCAAAGGAATCACAGCCAAACTAGAGATGAAACCTGACGCACGTCCAAAGTTTTGCAAGGCTCGTCCTGTCTCCTATGCTCTTCAGGAAGCTGTTGAAGCTGAATACAACCGTCTCGAGTCAGAAGGAATTGTCGAACGGGTGTAATTCATCAGTGAATGGGCTACCCCAATGGTTCATGTCCCCAAGGCAGATGGAACTGCACGTTCTTGTGGTGATTATTCCGTTACTGTCAACCCTCAGCTTCACTTCCCTCAGTATCTAATTCCCCTCCCTGAGGATGTCTTCTTGAAACTGCGGGGTGGACAACGTTTCACTAAGCTCGGCTTAATGAGTGCAGCTCCCTTTGGTTCCTGAAAGCCAGCAGTTCGTTACTATCAATACGCACAGAGGTCTTTACCGCTACAAAAGGCTACCCTTCGGAATTGCGTCTTCACCCGCTCTGTTCCAGCGCACTATGGACATCATCCTTCAGGGTTTTGATCATGTGGCGAGTATACAAGATGACATTCTTATTACTGGCAAGGAAGACGATGAACACATTAAGAACTTAGACAGCGTCCTCAGCCGTCTAGACCATTATGGCTTGCGACTTCAGCTAAGCATATGCAAATTCATGCAGAAATCAGTTACATACATGGGCTGTGTCATCTCTGCCAGCGGAATTCTCCTACAGAGGGAAAGGTAGAAGCCATCAACCCTGAGAACCCCACCTAGCTGAGAGCCTTCCTTAGAATGATCAATTATCACGGCAAGTTTATCCGAAACCTGAGCTCTATCCTCCAACCACTCAATCAGCTTCTCCAAGGTAACCAAGAATTCAAGTGGTCCCCCCGGTGCGAGGAGGCATTTAAAAAGGCTAAGGACTTACTCTCATCTTCAAATGTGTTGGTTCTTTATGACCCAAGCCTTCCTGTTATTCTTGAGAGCGATGCAAGCCAGTATGGCATCGGAGCAGTCATATTTCACCGCTTCCCTATTGGTGATGAGCGACCTATCGCATATGCCTCCAGGTCCTTGAACTCTTCTGAGAAAAACTACAGTCGGATCGAGAAGGAAGGTCTTGCCATTATTTTGAGGTTACCAAACTTTACACGTATCTCTTCCGACGCAAGTTCACTCTGCGAACTGATCACAAACCTCTGTTGAAAATATTTGCTCCGGATTCTGCGACTCCAGTTTTGGCTGCTGCTAGACTGCAACGCCGGTTCTTTCTTCTCTCTTCCTACCACCACGAAATTGAGTTTAAGTCATCTGCTGAAGTAGCCAGTGCTGACGCCTTGTCAAGGCTCTCACTTCAGTACAGGAAAGATGCAAGTTTGGAAGAGGAAATCTTCCACGTGGCCTCTCAGCAGTTACAACGACACCCAGTTTCTGCCGCAGAAATCGCCAAGGACACATGTAGGAACTCTTTGTTAGCGAAAGCACTGTTGCTTACGCAGAATGGTTGGCCTATTTATCGCTGCGCCGATCCTGACCTCAAGCCATACTTCACACGCAGACAAGAACTCTGTGGAGAAGGCTGCCTTATGTGGGGCCTGTGAACTGTCATACCTCCTTCTTTAAGACAATGCAGACCATCCTGACAGAATTACATGAAGGCCATCCTGGGATTGCACGCATGAAATCAATAGCCCGCAGTCATGTTTGGTGGCCGGAAATAGATCAGGAGATTGAAAGGGTTACCCGTGAATGTCAACGGTGCAACAAAACCCGCAGGGCTTCCATGGTCTTGGCCGACAGCTCCCCAGCAACGTGTTCACGTAGATTTTGCTACCCATCAGGCAAAACATTACCTCATCGTGGTCGACGCCCACTCTAAGTGGCCTGAAGTGATTGGTCCCATGAAAACAACAACAGCCGACTCAACCATTAATGCCATGCGTATTATTTTTGCCAGATACGGTCTACCAACCCAAGTAGTCAGCGACAATGGCCCACCCTTCCAGTCTGCAGAGTATGAAGAGCTCCTGCGGCAAAATGGCATTCAGAGAATTTTAGTTTCCGCTTACCATCCCTCTTCAAATGGGTTGGCTGAGCGGTTTGTGCAGACTTTCAAGTATGCAATGGAGTCATCAGCTGACGATCCAGCAAGCTCCAACCAGCGGCGGATTTAGAATTTCCTCTTATCTTACAGAATACACCACACGCTACAACCGTCTCATCCTCCGCCAAGCTATTCTTACAGTGAGAACTTCGTACTTTATTGTCTCTGTTTACACCTGATATTGGCTCTCGCGTGGCCAGCCAGCAAGACAAAATGAAGTGCAATCATGACAAGTTTGCAAAATACAGGGAGATAGCTGTAGGCGACCATGCTCTCGCACGTGACCACCTATCGGGACAGAAGTGGCAAGCTGGTACTGTCATACAGCAAACATCATCTGCTTCCTTTCAAGTCCAGTTGAAAGATGGACGGAATTGGAGGAGACATGTTGAAGATGTACTTCAAAACATCCCTAGTTCTGCTGTGACTCAATCCAGCTCTGTCGAAGTTACATCTGATCAATCTACTGAGGGCGTTATTTCTCCCAGGACCGAAAGCAGTACACCCCCACCTGAAGAATCAGAGTCAGTGGAGTCGCCAAGCACACCTACTCCTCCCACCTCTGCTCCCCGTTGGTCCAAACGTGCCATTAAACCACCCCAGAGACTGATCGAAGAAATGGACTAAAATCAGTAAGTCTCGCCTTAATGACACTGAACAGTGCTTCTAATAGTTTTGTTTCATTTCTTGAACTTTTGATCATTTAGAGAGTTTCAAAAGTTGCCTTGTACTTTAATTTCTTGTCAGGCACAACATTTCTGCGGGGAGGTGTTTTTGTGTATCATTACATTTGTTATAGTGTCAGTAATTCATACTGAGCCCGCAGTATGTATGCGGTTTCTGTAAAACCCATGCGCTCTTTGATTAATACAGTTCTTTAGTTCATCCGCCATCTTGCGTGCAGTTATCTATTTGCCCGAGAACATAACACGAGGTTCAACTTTTAAGCTTACGAGCGACCTTTCGTGCATTTAATCTATTTTATTGCGAACGTCGAATTTTACGTACGTACGCACGTAAAATTACTCGACACTGGAAATCAACCCTTAAGGTCCCTATAGAGAGAAATAGGGGAGAAGTCACATTAAGGAAGAAAGATAATGTGAAAATAAAATGGAATGTGTCATTTGTTAAGAAGTACTAGGAGAGACCCTCAGAGGATGCAAACATTAACATGGATATTCAAGTTGGGTTTC